GTTTTCATTTTATATTTCAAAGCACCCTATGAAGCATACACTAGATAGCCTCAAAGAAAAATAATTGGAAAGGAATATATGTATAGATTGAATTAAAATCTTATAGGTTATATCTGTAGGCTCAGAATAAACTTTTAAATCTATTACATTAAGCCCATTTTTCATAATTTCCATCATCATGTTATGTCTATCTGTAACTCATTTGTAAAAACTAAGTCTAGTACAAAGGGATATAATTTTTAATAATGATGCCTGACATTAACTCTGAGATGTGACTACTCAAGAAATATGTGCAGCCCACAAAGTGAATGTGGAGAAGATTCTTCCAACAGTTTCTACTACTTGGCATGGCAATTCAATGACTAATATAAAATCCATTTACCCTCATTTGAAACTCATTCTTGGTTTACATTCTTTCTCATATTTAACTTAGAAAATGAAAAATACCCACTTATATAAATCGATCTCATTATCAGACCTGTACCTTGGGAAGCAGCTTATATTTCTCTATGGAAGATAATCAGGTAAATGTTACCAAACAATAATTTAATGTCCTTCAAGTTCAAGAGTAGGGTACAATATATGTTACTTATAACCTAGTTTAGATTGATTATTCAAGTATCAGCACTATTAGTCCTTAAAATGTTATCATTTGTGTAGTACAAAAAATATGTGTGTATATATGTACACAAACCAAACTACTGGACAACAAAAAAGAAATGTAATCATCACAAATTAAGATTTTCTTGTGAACTCCACAATCCATTTCATTCTGAGGTCATCCAGGCCCAGCAGTCTTCTTAAGTAAAATATCATTTTCTTCAGTTCAGTTTTCTTTAAAAAGAAAGTAAAAACCAGATTCCTGTGAGTATAAATGCAACCCAATATGAAACACATCCATACCAAAAATTCTTGGATGATAACATAAAAACATTCAATTTCAAGATAAAACCATAAATTACAAATGATCCTCAGGAAACTACTTCATGTGACTTAGCCCAATAGGAAGGATCTAATTGTAGGCACTGAAAAAAAACCAAAAGTTTTTATTTATTTAATTTTTGGTACTGGGGAGTGAACCCAGAGGTGCTTTACCACTGATTCACATCCCCAGCCCTTTTTATTTTCTATTTTGAGACAGGGTCTCATTAAGTTGCTTAAGGCCTTCCTAAGTTGCTGAGGCTGCACCACCACACCTGGCCCAAACAGTTTTCAATAAATAAATTTACATTCCTTTTTTCTTCCCTTCTAGAATTTCATCCTTTTCCAATTGGCTATACAATCAAGACTTAGGGGAATTATTTCATAATTTTGTGAAAATGGAAAAGCTGTGAAACCAAAAGCTTAATTGACCCAGACTATTCATTTAATCAACACATATTAGTATCTGTTATTTTCTAGACTCTATTTGTGCACCTGAATTCAGACATAAATGAGGCAGGCTCTTTGAGCTCAAAAGGGCTCAGTTTAGTGACAGGGGAGACAGAAACATACAGCCCCCAAACTTGGATAAATATAACACAATGGTTTTAATGACATCAGAGTGAATGAGCTACCGGGAGAGGGTAGGCTTGTTACCACAAGACACAACAATCACATATGACCTAAGTTCTGCAAAATGTTCCACTGCTGTAAAATCTCCATACCCTCCTGAGCACTCAAGATGCCTGTCTAAAACTTTCATATTAGTCATTCCTCTCTGTAGAAATACTCAGATTTGAAATAATCAGATCATTTCTTACGCTCTGTATAAATCCTTTTATCTACACCTCCTTGGCATGAGTGACATTTTCAAGAATCAGATCAGTTTTCACCTAACAGGAGTTCCCTGCAGAAGGAAGAAAATAAGGCCTCTGGAAGAGGATAAATGAAATGATGGACAAAGACAGATGTGGGTGGTTCTAAAGACAAACTGTCTGAGTGAGGTTCTAGCACAAATGTTAGCTGCGGCTGGTTTGAACTCATGATTCTCCTGTCTCAGCCTCCCGAGCCACTGGGATTATAGGTGTGCGCCACTGTGTCGGCATTTTTTTAAACATTTAATGAAGTGGTAAGATAACTATTTTTTTTTAATATTTTTTTTCAGTTGTAGATGGACACAATATATTTATTTATTTGTTTGTTTATTTATTTTTAAATGCGTTGAGGACGGAACCCAGAGCCTCACGCATGCCAGGCAAGCACTCTACCACTGAGCCACAACCCCAGCCCCAAAAGATAACTATTAATCAAATTTTATTTTATTTTGGTCCTATCCCAAATTTCACTGCCCTCCAACTTTCTTCTACAAAGAAAACATGAAAAGGAATTTTGAAGTCCAGGGATGTAGCTCAGTGGTAGAGAGCTTACCCAGCATGTGTGAGGGCCTGGGTTCAATCCCTAACACAGTAAAAAAATAATTTTGAAACAGTACAAAATATGTAAACACCTACCTTTAGTGTCACTGTGCCTACTGTTTAAGTTGAGCATTACTACTTATTGAGAAAAGATTTGGTTCTTTTTTTCTCCTATGTCAAGGAAACTAGAATTTAAAACACTGAACAGGTCTATGCCCAAACATCATAGGAGAAATTTATAATGTGTAAAAGAAAAAAGAGATTTAAATTAAAAGTTTATAGTTCTTTTGTTTCCCCTCTATGGTGCTGGGAATCAAACCCGGGTTCTTGCCGACGCTAGGCAAGTGCTCTATCACTGAGCTTTATCCTCAGCCCAACATCTATATCTTTTTGACAATTAAAAAAAAAACAAATATGGGCTGGGGTTGTAGCGCAGTCGCAAAGTGCTTGCCTAGCATGCATGAGGCATTGGGTTCAATCCCTGGCATCAGATAAAAATAAATAAAATAAAGGTATTATATCGATCTACAAACTTAAAAAAAAAAAAGAATCCATTAAACAAACAAACAACAAATATACGAATGGACTTAAAAGGTAAAAGTACTATTGAAAAATCAACTTAGTCTGGGCTTGGTGGTGTACTCCTGTAATCCCAGTGGCTTGGGAGGCTGAGGCAGGAGGATTTCAAGTTCAAAACCAGCCTTAGCAACTTAGTGAGGCCCCGAGCAACTCAATGACACACCGTCTCTAAATAAAATATATTGTTTAAAAAAGGTCTGGTGACGTGGCTCAGTGGTTAAGTGCCCTGGATATAGTGCCAAAAAAAAAAAACAGAAAGCAACTTAAGTTTCATATGCATTTCAACCTACCTACTGTGATAGATTATAACTGGATTCTTTGGTAAAGGAAAAACACCCATAAATATTTAAACTCACAGATTTTTTTAAATGTGTGTCAAGTGTGCCCTATTGCTTTTTACCCATCAATTATTACTTAATGAGAGATGATGATGAAACATGGAAGACACAATCAATAAGGCCACCATCAAAGTAATGATGAATTGGTAAGTACCTTGCCAATTCGCTCAAGAAAGTAATTCAGTTCTTGTGTCCAATTTTTGGACTGAAGATTTTCTGGAACACAAGTATTCTCACCTCAGGACAGAGATTCAGGGTACATTCAGGAATTCCAAGCTATTTCTCAGACCTATTTGAGTTATCTTCTATCATCCCAAACTGGAACTCTGGCCTTCATCTTAAACTACTTCCTAATTCTAGATACAGTCAACCAGCAGGCTGAAATTTTTCTGAAATGTTAATGCCCATCTGTCAAAGGTATACAAAGTAAGCAAGTATTATCTGTTTACCTTTCCACTGTCATTTATATTAGCAAAGGGCCCAAAACAAACATCATAAAGCCATAAAACTTAAGAAGCATATAGTCATTTTCTTGTTGAGCAGATCATAGGCATACAAATCTATCAGAAGTTCCCAAGGGAAAACTAGTCTAACAAGTACTGAGCAATCGCCAACATATCATTTCCAAGGTAGCTTTAGTCTCAGGATCAGTATAGAATGTTCAATATGACAATGGACCTATTCTCTTAGTTGTTGGTGAAAACTGTCTACTATCAGTTATAAGAATTTATGCATCATTTCAAATTATAAAACTATAGTATTACCTTCTCCTTCTTTGATAATACAAATGCACCAACCACTGGGCAATAAAAGGCCATATAATAGCAAAAGTTAATGCACCAGGAGACATCTCAAAGGGCCACCAAGATGGTCTCTGGAAAAATAAAATAAACTTGTCAATAATCTATTAAATATTATATTATAAACTTAACAACATGCTTAATTCTTAATTTTGAAAATATAAAAATCCTTGTGAAAGGAAAGTGATATTCTGTATTTCAGGCCATAACTCAGTAAATAAACTTTCAGGAACATTTCAAACTTAAACAGAAAACAAATATTTTTTAACTTCAAAGCTTTAAAGGATAAAATTAATCTTAAATACCATACAGCCCTCAAGATGTAATCTAAATGTACTATAACTCATTTAAAAACCTGCTACTTAGATTTGAAGAAAAAAACATCTTACTTGTGAGGAAGGTTGAGTACTAGTCTGCAATGTTGATGATTTTGCCTGTGAATACAAATGAAAGTGACTCATCTTGACAAAAGAAAAAAATATATGGTAATTTTTCTACTTCCTGTCCTTTAAAAAAAAAGAAAAAGTCTAGGACTAGGAATATAGCTCAGTTGGTAAAGAGCTTGCCTCGCATGCACAAGGCCCTGGATTCAATCCCCAGCACCAAAAAAACAAACAAAAGACCCCAAAACCCTCAAATCAGTTTAAGCACTTGCTTCTTTAAGGGTCTTATTACATTACCTACTTCCTTTGTTTCCATACAAACCAGCAATTTACAAGCACATTTGAGAACTGCAGCCTTGATTATTAATTAAAGTAGACTGTAAACAGTGTCCAAAGACTTGTTGGGGGAATTCCTGACAAGTTATAGCAAAAAAAATATATATATATATATATATATGATATATATGAGAAATGAACTGTTAGTATTAAAGATTATTAAGTGAGAAGCAGTATGTGTGTGTGTACAGATATAGATATATAGATATATATTTCTTTTTTTTCCTAGTGCTGGGAAATTCTGTAAAAGAACTCATACATGCTAGGCAAGTGCTCTACCAGTAAGCTACACCCTCAGCCTGAGAAGCAATATGAATTAAACAGAAAATTTTCAATTAATTCAGGAAACTTAATCTAAATCAAGTTTCCTTAGACTTATTAGCAACTTACTGCTCCAGTTTTCTCTATTTATTATAATTTTAGATAAAGGGAATGAAGATTAATGAGATCATCCATTCACTGAATAAATGTTTACTGAGATCTATTATGTACTAGTCAGTATTCTGGGTACTAAAGGTACAGGAAGAAGCAAAATGACAAATATCCCTGCCTTAATGGAACATACCCAGTGTAGGGATACTGATAATAACAAAATAATAAATTTACAGCATGTCCGGGGTGAAAAATGCCATAAGGAAAAAATAAAACAGGGAAGACATATGAGACATATCAGAAGAATTGAAGCCTGCAAGCAATTTTGTTTTTCTTTTTTTGCAGTGAGGAGGATTGCACTGAGTTCTACCCGCAGCATACTTGCAAGCAATTTTAAATAAATTGTTTGAGGTAGGCTCAAAATTGTTGCTAACAGAAGGAACAGCCTTCTGTGTAAAAGTAAAAGTAAGTTCAAAGACCCAGGGTGAGACAGAGACTACTGGAAACTTCAAGGAACAACTAGAAGGCCAACGTGATGAAGTTCTGTGAGATAGAATAGCAGCAAGGTGGGGCAGAAGGAAAGCAGGCTTTTAAAATTCTTATGGGTGGGCTGGGGCTGGGGCTCAGTGGTAGAGGGCTTGCCTAGCACGTGTGAGGCCCTGGGTTTGATTATCAGCACCACATATAAATAAATAAAATAAAGGTCTATTGACAACTAAAAAAATATTAAAACAAAGTTTTTTTAAAAAAAATCTTATGGATAATGTGATTTCAAGTAGCCTAGTATGAATATGGCTTACAGTGCAACTAAATTAGATGCCTCTAGATGTTGCATTAGTCCCTATCGACCATTAAAGTGTTACACTGGTGAGTTAAAGTTGTAGTACACTCAAGCTGAACACTTCAAGTGCTAAAAGAATGAAGAAAAAGTAATGACTCTTACGCATAATAATATTCAACCAAGAAATGTACGTATGGCACTTCTCCAGATTAAATGTAATAAAGGGTAGAATTAAAAAACTGGGCTCCTAGGTATCCAATAACTTATATCCAACATCATTTTAGTCACTATGAATTGGAATGAAACTCATGGTGACCAAATTCCAAAGTGACAGACAGAATAACTACCCTTCCTTACAGTAGAAACTAACCTATCAAACACTAAAGTTGAACTGGAACTGTTGAACAGAACTTGGCTTACAGCTAAGAAGTAACCAGCACTAGCTGGGCACAATGGCACATGTCTGTAATCCTAATGACTCAGAAGGCTGAGGCAGGAGGACAGCAAGTTGAGGCCAGCCATAGCAACTTAGCAAAACCCTATTCAAAATAAAAAAAAAAAAAAAAAGGAAGGGCTGGGAATATAGCTCAGGGGTAGAACACCCTGGGGTTTAATCCCCAGTACCAAAAAAAAAAAAAAAAAAGTAATCAGCACTACTTGTTTAATTAAGATCACAGTTTTGGTTTTGCTTTGTATGTGCTTGAGAAATAAAGTATATTTAAAGTCCATGATCCCGGTACACTATTGCTAGGATATTTATCCATATGTACCAAGAAACTTTTATGTAAGTTCTATTTAGAAAGTCACAGTTTAATATTTTATTCTTCTATTGCTAGATGAAAATAGAGGATTACTGAAGGCTTTTCTATTCCCTCTGAGATGTTGGGGATCTGACCCAGGCAAATACTTCACCACTGAGCTACATCCCTAGCCTACCCTTTCCTGATCCCACTCCTTGTTTTGTTTTGAATTGAATTCATGGACACGAGACTGCTGAGCCACATCCCAAGCCCTATTTTGTATTTTATTTGGAGACAGGGTCTCATTCAGTTGCTTAGCGCCTTGATTTTGCTGAGGCTGGCTTCAAACTTGCAATCTTTCTTCCTCAGTCTCACAAACTGCTGGGATTACAGGCATGCACCACTGCGCCCAGCTTCCCACCCCTTGTTTTTTGAAATTCATTTTGAAAGGAAAAACTTCAAACAACATAGGTAGCACTTTGCTAATATGAAAATCTAAAAAAATCCAAAATGCTCAAAAATCCAATACTGGGCTGGGGATGTGGCTCAAGCGGTAGCGCGCTCGCCTGGCATGCGTGCGGCCCGGGTTCGATCCTTAGCACCACATACAAACAAAGATGTTGTGTCCGCCGAAAACTA